GATCCTTTCGGGTTGAATCAGTTGGGTTGCATTCATGTTGAGTTTCTTCCTGGTTAAGTTGGTTTTAAATAAAAAAACCAAATTTTATTTGGTTTAAAATTATTTTGGTTGGAAAAATTTTATTTTTCTCGATATTCATGTATCTGAGAGCAAAAGTGTAAAAGAGCAATATTGTTAAGAATAAAGTTTGCTATAACTTTCATAGCAAAACTTTTTTTCTAAAACGTTCCGAATACTAACAACAAGATGTAAACCATGATTTCACCTAAAGTTCACCATTTCGTATTTTTCTCGATATGTAGGCATTTGAGAGTAAAAGTGTAAAAGAGCAAGATTGTTAAGAATAAAAGGGTGGAAGTAATGATTGTACAACGTTAAGAATTAAGTTTAATTATTGGGAAATCAACCAAAAAAGGGGGAAAGAATTGAAAACCTCCTTTAATTGAACCAAGCTTTCGATATTTATTATAATCTTCGTCAGGGTACGCTACAAGAAATATGGGAACATTACTTATAAATCCAGCTAAACAACCAAAAGACTTACAATTAGAGGTTAAGAATGTAAGAAATGCATTGATGATAAACTAAAGCTTAACATGGAGGGATCAGATATGAGAGAATCTACAAGAGATTTGTTCGTAAATTCAATCAGATGTCAGTATATTTCTTTGGGAGTTAGTTCGAAAATTGACAGTGTTGAAGAAATGTGGAACATCTCCATGAAGAGTCTTCTATTGTATAATGTTTCCCTACAAAGAATTCTAGTCTGATCGAAGTCAAACTTATGACCCATTGATACTAATAAATATACTAATTCATGGTGTTCAACTAAAGCAGTCCCACCCGATTTCATCATAGCACAATCCATTGTATGTTGCGACACCCTTGATTTGAGGTACTGGGAAGTGAGGGAAAGAGGTACCTACATAGCACCTCTCACAACCTTTATAGTCGATCTAGGCTAGATTAGACTGAAGGAGAAGGAGAGTAGAGTCCTTCAACCTAGAAAAAGAAACTTCTTAATGGTTTGCAGGTATATTTGGTAAACTTCAGAGGGCAATCCTTGAAAATCTTAACAAAATTATCAGTGAAATCGGGGATGAAGGGAACTTTAGCAAACTTGGAGGGTGTTGAAGGCTTCTCATCATCTGGGGGATGTGTTATCAAGCTGCGAAGAGGCAGTACGGGTGGAGCTGGTATGTATCACAATGTCCGGAGAGTAGAGGATTCTGCTGACAAGTGAACGAGGAAACCATTATTACAGAACATATAAGCCAGAAGCTTAAGATTCTTATCTCTAAATTCATGGTCGGAGATTCGAATGACCCTGTTTTTCATGCCCTTAAAGGTGTTAACCTTAATTTGAATAGGATGACAGGAAAAGAAATTAATGGACCGACCACAATTGGTCAGTTTTTCTGATAACCAGTGAGTCCAGAAAGGGGACACTATTGTTGGATTCAGTTTCAATCGTAAACTGGATGTATTGATTAACAAAGTTGAACTCCCTTTGTGCGTACAATAATCTGTCATACGGTACTGACGACCAAATAATGTCATCAACATATTTATAAATAAACGGTAATTGAAAGGGGAGCCGAGGAATATACTTGTCCAAGATCCAGTCCATAACTATGGTGGCCAAGATGGGGCTGAGGGGATTGCCCATCGGAGTACCAAACTTCTTGTAGAACTTCTCCTGGAAGGAAAATACTGAAGAGTTAAATAAGAACTCAATTATCTTGAGGAACAAGTCATGGGAAATCTCAGTGTGAGGTTGTATCAGGTTCCAGTCAGCTGACAACCTTTCAATTACTAACTGCAAGGGGATGCTAGTGAAAAGGGAGACAACATCCAATGAGATCAGGACAAACAGGAATCGCTGATGTTATAAGTAGTCCTACTGGCAAAAGCCAAGGATAGAATAGTGGCCAAAAAACTGAGTGAAACTGAAACTAAGTAGGAGACTCAACAAGAAATTATCGGTCAAAGATGTGATCCTTCTTTATGGATCTTAGGGAGGCCATAAAACTTGACTTTAATACTTCATAGGTGGTCGAGTCTTTCAGTAGTGCCAAGGATTGTCAACATATTGGGACTGATTAAGGACCACAGTAACTTTACCCTTGTCTGCAGGGACAACAACGAGGGGTCCGGTCAGACTTTCTTCAAGAAAAGTCCCGTGTCTGTTTGGAATCGAGAGATGAAACCAGCCACGGGAAGAGATGTGTCTTTTTTAACATGATTGCCAATGAGATTCGTGACTCTGGTTCTTCTTCAGAGCTACAAACAGAGATGAATCCAATGTAACCGGTAGGCCGAACTTAGAACCCAGGGAAACCAATCTGGGACATCCTGGGATATTTGCACATCAGACTTATTCACGAATCATTTGGAGTCGTTCATTCCTATTCCGAATCATTCCTATTAAACTTTTTTTCTGGAACGTTCCGACTCTCGTGCTCTTATCAATAACATTATGTAAAATCACGATTTTATCAAAGTTTCGCTTTTTCGAATTTTTCTCGATATTCATGCATCTGAGACCAAAAGTGTAAAAGAGCAATATTGTTAAGAATAAAGGGGAGCCGAGGAATATACTTGTCCAAGATCCAGTCCATAACTATGGTGGCCAAGATGGGGCTGAGGGGACTGCCCATCGGAGTACAAAACTTCTGCTTGTAGAACTCCTCCTGGAAGGAGAATACCGAAGACCTTATTTAACTTTTCGATTTTAACTCAATGATCTTGAGGAACATGTCATGGGGAATCACAGTGTGAGGTTGTATCAGGTTGTAGTCAGCTGACAACCTTTCAGTTACCAACTGCAAAGGGATGTTTGTGAAAAGGGAGAAAACATCCAACGAGATCAGGGCAATCAGAGGTCAACGTCACACTTCTCATCTGCTTAGCAAAAGCGAAGGAGTCACTGATGTTATATGTGGTCCTACTGGCGAAGGCCAAGGATAGAATAGTGGCCAAAAAACTTGACAACCTAAGTAGGAGACCCAACAAAAGAAATTATCGGTCTAAGAGGTGATCTTTCTTTATGAATCTTAGGGAGGCCATAAAAGTTGGGAGCGGTGCCATTATGACACACCAGAAACCTGTAAACCTGTTTGGAGATGTATTCATTGTTACTGTTGGACTTCGACATTGGGAACAATACTATTCCGGCTACTCCAGCAGTGTTTCTGATATCATCGCCAGGTGCAGTTTATCTACTCTACACTAAAGAGTTCAGATAATATCGTCAGTCATAAGAAAACTCCACTACTCCCTATTACTATGTAAAATCTTACATGCAGAACTATTTTCAGAACTTCTTGATCAGACAAAGTTTTTAAGACATCAGTTATAATATCTATCTGTCTTAGAAGTACATTTGACAGATGCTTTTGTCAAATCTTTTTAATGGGATTGATAACATGATGCTGATCATACTGACTTTATAAAAACTCAGTCCATGTATAATCCGAATGAATGAACGTTTATTATATTTTATACTGGCGTATATAAAGTATATTTACCACTGGCAATGTGACTTAAAATGTAGCTGCTGTCATCTAGCAAAGCTGGAAAATACCTTTGTTTGAAATCGAATTGAATGGCGAAGCTCAGTAGTTTTTGTAATATGGGAGAGAGAAATTCCGTTAAATGTGTATTAATGTCTTCATTCCAAAAACTACTGAAAAGAATTGAAGCATTCTCTAGAATTATTGAAATATCGTTTAATGCACTATACAAGTTATTCTAGAATTGAATTCGTTGCTGTTATCATTGTTGAGGGCATTGCCTTTTATAAAATACTTCTACAATCCCATGTCCCAAAAGATGACAAGCACCACACAGCTTAGGAAGCTTAGGAAATAAAGAACTAATAGTTACTTAGTTAGTTCTATTTTCTGTATATTAAGAAACTTAATTCCTAACCTATAAATAAGTGTGTTGATCTTCTTCGTCATCCTTCTGGACGATCCATCGATAGAGTTGTGAAGGTGTTTGGAGTTGTCCTTTATATGCTTCGGTACGATGCCTGATCGTCGATATTTGAGTAGGAATTCTTTCCCTCAATCGAATGTGTTCTTGGGGACTAATTTAGTTTACCATCAATGTATTTCTTACATTCTTAATCTCTAAATGTAAGTCTTTTGGTTAAGTCTTTTGGTTGTTTAGCTGGATTTATAAGTAATGTTCCCATATTTCTTGTAACGTACCCTGACGAAGATTATAATAAATATCGAAAGCTTGGTTCAATTAAAGTGGGGTTTCAATTTCTTCCCCCCTTTTTGGTTGATTTTCCAATAATTAAACTCAATTATATTTATCAAACACAACTTTTATATCAAAACATAAATCTCTTGCTCTACCAACAACAAGATGCAAACCCATGATTTCATCTAAATTTCAACATTTCGTATTTTGCTCGGTATTTGTGCATCTGAAAGCAAGTGTGTAAAAGAGAAATATTGTTAGGAATAAAGTTTGCTACAAATTTTATACTATAATTCTTTTTAGTATAAAATTCTCGTGCTTTGATCAACCAATTTAATTTTTTCTTATTCTGGGCTAGAATTTCGAGCCGAACACGGTGTCGTTCTGAGGGATGTGCAAGATTAACGGGAAAGAATTAAGATCGGTCAGAGATCGGATAGAAGAGACTATGGCGAATCGAATGCCGTATATATCTTAATAATCGAGTATATCGTTTACTAGTTATAACCACCTAAAAATGGCAATTTGGTGTTCCTTTGCAATATTTTGACGGAATTAATTAAGGATTTAACGGAATTCGAAAGAGATTTAGAATCGGGAATTTTCACCTTCGCATTGGTTAATGATTAAGCTTTCAAATGAGATATTATTCATCAAAATCGGTTGAGAGGTTTCTCTTGTTATAATCAAAATACTATTCATGTAAAATCTTATCTAACGGAGGGCTAACTTCACATAGGTTAAATGTATCCAAATTTTTTTATTAATCCTTTTAATTATTATAGGAGGATCAAGAATATATTATTTTTAAAGCAGGATTACAGCACAAAATCAAACCCGAATGGAAAAATTCCGGAAGAGGAGTAACAGCGCAACAAATCGAGAAATATTATTCTCAAATAACCAGAGCTCAAATATTACAATTATATCATATTTATAGGTAAAAATGATTTGTTTACAATGAATTAAAATAACCGATTAATTTTAGATACGATTTTGAACTTTTTAATTACACGCTTAACGGCTACATAGAGGTAGGTCAAATTGATAAGGACCCATCGGCTCTTTTACAAGCAATAAACATTAAAGATTCAAACATAAAAGTTACGGATGGCTAAAACGTTAATGATGTCATAAAATAGTCCAACACAATTAGAAGGAAAATCATAGAAATGAATCTATAAAAACTTTAATGAAGCAATTAATTAACTAATTTACAAGTAGTTAACAACAATAAAATAATTGCAATTAATCAATTGTGATAGTAAACGAAACATTAAAAATTTAAACCGCGAAGAAGTTGAGGTGTTGTATATACTTTTATAAAAATTTCATTGTTAATAAATGAATTGTTATCTTAAAAAAAAATCTATTTTTACTTACACGTGTTTTACTTGATTTGACATCTTGAAAGCGATTACGTAAAAATCGTTGCAAACTCGCTTCCAAATTTTCTCGATTTTCACGTCATCCGATGATGGGGAATTATTTAAATATTCCTTAAGTAATGCCTTTTTCTTGGTTAATTCCGATTCTATTCTAGCGTTCTTGGCACGGATATCTCGCAATTTTGATGAAAGAAACTCTTGAATTGGGTTTGATATTAAATCTATGTCATCGTTAACTTCATCGATTTCCATCGTATCCATGATTTTAATAAAGAAATCTGAAACAAACACGAAATCATTAAAAATAAATAATAAAAATCAATAATAATGGCATCTTTGACAAGGAAATAATAAATAAACTAAACGAGAAATGTTTTAAATTAAAGCAAACAATTATATGTTTCCTTAAAGAGGAAAGTATAACTTTTGAACTTCTTCAAAGAAGACGATTAAAATTCTAATTTGGTGTAAGAATTATTTCTGTTCCACGTTGAATTTGAATTTTTGTAAGAAAACCATCTTTTCCAATCATATTAGGACCGTAGCGTAAATCTTTAATATTGAGAAAAATACCCTTCAAAAAATCTGCAATATCGGTATCCTCTGAAGAGTAAATAGAGTGTTTTCAATCCAAAGTGCAGGAAGTGGAAATGATATGGGCCCCATCATTCCTTGTATTTACTAATAGATGCCGGAACTGTTTTTTCAGTGTTTTCTGGAGTTGACCTTTCTTCATTTCCACAATGGCAGTAATATCGAATACCACTTATTGAAAAACCCCGGATCAACGAGTTAAAGACATGGAACCACCAGGAATTGTTGATAACATTGAATTCTATCAATGGTACATTTTACCATCGATAGAATTTTTCCGAGAACTAGACTACCTACATTAGTTCATAAGTTCTCAGAAATAGATATCGAGAATAGAACAAAGTTGATCCAAAATCTATAAGTGCCGCTCTCCGTAAACTTTGATCGACCCGATAGATAGATAGATAGATAGATAGCCATTTATTGTCACCAACAAAAAAAAAACAACTCACATAAACTTTTGTACATTTAACACTAAATTAATATTAATATTGTAAACTTAACCGTATATTCATTTATGATACAATTTAACAAATCAAAATTTCATCTTCACTCTTGTTTGTTTTGGTGACTATTTCGGTGTTAACCGTGGCATTCCCATAATGGGACTGAGTTCGTATGTTCGTGATATTTAGTCCGTGTAAAGCCATACTTCCTTGTATATCTCCTTCATTCTATTCCATTCTTGTCGGTCCCAAGCTATCCTGTGCCATGTTACTCCTCCACAACTCCTCTTAAACTCATCTTCCCAGCTGACAGTTGGTCTTCCTTTTCACCATTTCTATGTTTGATTTCCATATATTTTTGTATCTGTTAAACATTTGCCATCCCATTGCCATTCTCCGTGTTATTTCTTCTCCTGTGTTTTTAGTTGTAATCTTTTGTCCGAGATATACGAAATGTTCTACTTTGTCGATTTCCTTTCCTTTAACAATTATTTTATTTTTTTGTTCACAACTTATGTACATTGCTTTTGTCTTGCTCATATTTATCTTCAGACCAATTTGCTTTCCTCTTCTCGATATTGTTTCCAGCATTTTTCTTACTTCTGTTTCGTTTTTTCCTATAAGTACTATGTCATCAGCAAACTTTAGCCTGTTCAACCATTGCCCATTTATTCTTATTTCCAAGTTTTTCCATTCTTCTTGTACAAACATTGTTTCCAATACTGCATTGAATAGCTTTGCAGAAGTCACATCACCTTGCTTCAATCCATTTCCTAAAGTTATCGTTCTTTTATTATTGTTCATTTCGATGTTTAGTTTTGAGTTTTTATATATATAGTTTAATATACGAATGTACTGGTCTTCCATACCAGACGTTTGTATGACCTGTAAGATTGTTTCTGTTCTTACATTGTCAAACGATTTTTTTATCAGTTGCTGCACGACTAAAATATTGTCTAGCGTGGAGAAGTTCTTCTTAAATCCTAATTGATCTTCGGAGGATGGTAGGTGTTGCTCTATTCTCCTTGTGATTATGGATATAAATATTTTATACATCACCGGAAGTAAACTTATTGGTCTGTAATTGTTGATCTGTTCCCTATCGCCTTTTTTGTATATTAAGACTAGTTTAGTTACGTACCAGCTATCAGGTATCTTTTTTTGTTTCAAGCAGTTATTAAAAATTTCCTTCAATATTATCATTATATGGTTTCCACCTGCTTTTATTTCTTCATTTCTTATCTGATCTATACCTCCAATTTTTTCCTTCCTTCAGTTTTGAGATTATTTACTTATTTCTTCTGTCATTATTTCGTATTGTGTGTGTTCATTCTCCCTTTCTTCTGCCTCCATTATGTCTGCTCCCGTATTCCATTCAATTCCTTCTTTTTCCGTCTTGTTGTATAGTTCCTTATAAAAGTCGCATATAATCTTTAATATTTCTGCATCTTCCCTTTTGCTCATACCGTTCTTATCTTTTATTGCTATTACTTTATTTTGTCCCACTGATTGTTGTCTCACACTTTTTCTTATATTTCCTCCCGTAGTAATTACATCTTCTAATTCTATTATTTTTTTGTTATATGACCATTCTTTCCATTTTTTTTCTTATTAATTTTGATATTTCTGTATACTCAATCTGTTCTCTTCCTGATCTCTTTATTGTTCTTCTTTTATTTAATAGTTTATGTATATCGCATGGTAATTTTGACCTTTGTTTTTCCTTTTTTGTATCCTTTTGAATATTATCCTTTGTAACCTTTGTTATTGCCTTAGTTATTATATGTTTTTGGTTTTCTATGTTAGGGTTAGCTTGAATTTCTTCCAAACTTAATTCGCATTTTATTTGGTCTTCAAAGTTTTCTCTTCTTAATTCATCAGTAGATTTGTAACTTATCATTTTCTTTACGCACGGTATCTGTCGTTTCGTGCTTATCTGTACTGTCATCTTTATCGCTCTGTGATCACTACCGATATCTATTTTCTGTTCAATTTCTACGTTTTGTATGATTTCTCTCTTGTCTACTATGAAAAATCCATTTCATTTCTTGTTTGTCTATGCGGGCTAATCCACGTCCATTTCTTATCATTAGCTTTATTATAAACTGTATTCATTATGTAAAATTTATTTCCCTCTACAAATTCGACCAACTTTTCACCACTTTCATTTCTATTCCCAATGCCGAAATTACCAATACATGATTCGTCCTGTTTTTTATCAACCTTAGCATTAAAGTCTCCCATAACCATGGTATATTTACATTTATCATCAACAATTGCTGTCTGTAGATTTTCATAAAACTCGTCTCTTTATTCCTCATTGGCGGTAGAAGATGGTTTTCAAAGTTTAATGTAATCTTCGCAATTCTGTGTGCATATGTTTTAAAGGAGGTAATATTAATTATACATTTTATATTTATTAAAAATCCGGTTCCACCTGTCTTTCCTAATCCATTATAGTAAAATATTGTTCCCTTTACATTTATACACTGCTCACCTTTTCTTCGGATCTCACTCAATCCTATTATATGCCATTTCGTGTTTTTTAGTTCTTCTAGCAATTCCTCTAATTTCTCATCTTCTCTCAAAGTTCTACAGTTATAGGTCAGTAGTTCAAGTATTTTTTTATTATGATGCCGATTCATCTTTTGCATCTTTTCTCCTTTATTCTGTATATTCTGTGTGTTTAGCCAGGTGGTAGGGTAGTATGTTTCCATTTTCGATTTCCTTATTTTTGCCATGGTAGTTATATTTGAGCGTAAATTCGTATTATAATTTGATTGCTAGATATTGTCATTTTGTGTGTTTTTCGTTGCTGTCTCTGCTTTTGTGTTTTGCTTTTTTAAGTCTCCTGTAGTGAACGACTGCTTTTGGAGGCCAGGTGTGTTTATTCCTCTACTCTCTGTTCTCTCAGTCATTATTTTAATCTGTTGTCTCACTTTTTTCATCATTTTTTTTATAATACATTTTTTTTAGTTATTACTCACCTTATTACCCTCTTCTTCTTCCTCCTCTGATCTGTGTCTTTTCTTATGAAGTATCTTTTGGGTGTCCTTCTCTTGTATTTCCTTTCCATTAACAATAAATTTATCGTATTTTATGAATGCTCTAGGTCCACCTCAAATAGTTGTGTTTGTACTTTTAATTGTTTATTAATTATGTTCATCATCATTTTTCCAACTCATTGAGATTCCCCTCCTCTTCCGATACTCCCATAATTATTACGTTTCTTCTTCTCTCCTCTCTTTCATTCTGTTGTGTTACCGTTATTTTCATCTCCTTTACTTCTTTCTCGGTCAAATCAAACCTTGCATGAAAATCTTGCCGTAGGTTATTTATATTTTCATGTACTTTTTGAAACTCATTTTGAATTTTGGCTAGAGAAGCCAAAATTTAAATGGCTTAGTTCTTCTAGAGTTCTAGAGTATCGTTTTGAGTTTTGCTTGGGATGATGTAATCTGTTGTTTTTCCTACAGAACCTGGTGGAACAGAGAGTTTAATAAGTTCTGCACGACATACACCTAGATTATGCTGCTATATTTACTGGATTCTCCAACTTCCTTTCCAAGAACCTAACACACTTTTCCTTGCTGATATACAGCTAAGACGTTGAGCACTCGTCCACATTGGAAAAAAAGTGTAAAAAATGCCAAGCGAGATCTCGAGCTACGCGAAAGAAAAATCCAAAAAGCAACAGAAGCCAAGGAAGCTGATACTGTTGAATATAAAAATTTTAGAAATGTTGCTTACTACTTCTTTACTTAGAGACCTGAAAAGGTCATATATATGCAACGAAACTGTTGCCTCCAGGCAATTCCTCCAGTACAATTATAAAGAATAATGAAGGATTAAAAAAGGTAAATCCCTAAAGGTTTTATTTCAGCACATTTGGGACACCGTAATAAGAGATACATCAGCCAACTTTATTGCGTATAATATGAACAAAGACGATTTTTACTT